AAGGTAGGAGAAGGCTCAGGGGAATAGCAGCAAGGAATGGGAGTGTAGACCTTGGCTGCTGACCAGAGGGCCCCTGAGCTGGCATTAGGAGTAGAGGGCGGGCCCGGGTTCCCCTACCAGCCACGGGGAACGTGGCGCAGTAAATGGAAGCCTGCCATTTCCTATGGAGGGACTTTCATACCCTGCAAAGGGGGAATATGTATTGTGACCTGGCCGGAGGGATGAGTCCTGAAGAAGAGCATGTGGTTCCTGGAATAAGAGGAGTCTGCAGGGTGAGAGGACGGAGAGATGCTGACAGGGGAGGGCGCAACGCCCATCCAGAGCTAATCCCCAGGATGGCCAGGAGGAGGTGGCACCTACGGTGAGTGGACCCTGTGACAGGCGGTGCTGACTAGGTGTGGAAGGAACTTCATCCAGCATTGCTCAGCCTCATGTACCATGCCCGAAAGTGACAGGATGGGAGAGGAGTTAAAGGGGAGAGGAAAATAGGATACCTCCCCCATGCCCCCCCCCCCCACAAACTCATTTAAAAAGCACTCATGAAAGTTACAAGGAAGCCAAAAGGTTAAAAGGCAAAGCTACCAAGCTCCTCTCTGGGCTGATCTTAAAATAGCCCATTAATCTCACAGTTTAAAGCCTATTTGCATTAAATGCCATCCCAAAGGAATTCAAGGTCTGTTTCTTGTCAGACATAATTAGATCTACAGCCTTAACCTTGTGCAGCGATGGCCCCCATGGATCCACACCTGCACACGCCATGTGCATCAAATTATTTATCCTTTATTCAGCACCACAATCTTTACAGATATTAAAGCTCAAACCCTGCCCCAGGGACATTACAGTGGTAACCCCCGGTCCTACAAACACACACACCTTTCACTTTCCTCAGCCCCATTGAAATCAATGGGTAGACTACCCACGTGAGTCAAATTAAACATGTGCATAAGTTTTTGCTTGATCAGCACCTCAGTTGAACATGGGGCGTAGCAACTAAGGGAGAAAGGGAGAAGGAAATGGCTGAGCAAGGGATACAGCATGAAAAATCATAAGATTGATAGTTGTAGATGCGGCATAGCTGTTTCCCTCTCAATTTTAGTTTTGCAGCTTATCTGCTGAACTGTTTACAATTGCTGTATATTTTGTGGGACGGATAGCAGGCTTCCTGCTTCTGATGTACTTAGAACATTTTTGCTATTACTTTTTGGGTCTTTGGCTAGCTGTTCTTCCAATTCTTTTTTGGCCTCCCTAATTATATTTTTACACTTCATTTGCCAGAGTTTATGCTCCTTTCTATTTACCTCACTAGGATTTAACTTCCACTTTTTAAAGGATGCCTTTTTGTCTCTCACGGCTTCTTTTACTCTGTTGTTTAGCCACGGTGGCACTTTTTTGGTTCTCTTACTATGTTTTTTTAATTTGGGGTATATATTTAAGTTGAGCCTCTATTCTGGTGTCTTTAAAAGGTTTCCATGCAGCTTGCAGGGATTTCACGTTTGGCACTGTACCTTTTAATTTCTCTTTAACTAACCTCCTTGTTTTTGTATAGTTCCCCTTTCTAAAATTAAATGCTACAGTGTTGGGCTGCTGTGGTGTTTTCCCTGCCACAGGGATGTTAAATTTAATTATATTTTGGTCACTATTACCAAGCGGTCCAGCTATATTCACCTTTTGGACCAGTTCCTGTGTGGCACTTACGACTAAATCAAGAATTGCCTCTCCTCCTGTGGGTTCCAGAATTAGCTGCTCCAAGAGGCAGTCATTTAAGGTGTCAAGAAACTTTATCTCTGCCTCCCATCCTGAGGTAACATGTACCCAGTCAATATGGGGATAGTTGAAATCCCCCATTATTATTGATTTTTTATAGCCTCTCCAATCTCCCTGATCATTTCACAATCACTATCATCATCCTGGGACGGTGGTTGATAATATATCCCTACTGCTATATTCTTATTATTAGATCATGGAATTACTATCCATAGAGATTCTACGGTACAGTTTGGTTCATTTAAGATTTTTACTTCATTTGATTCTATGCTTTCTTTCACATATAGTGCCACTCCAACAGCATGACCTGTTCTCTCCTTCCAATATACAGGGGTCTCTCCTTCCAATATACAATGTACCCTGATATTACTCTGTCCCATTGATTATCCTCATTCCTCCAAGTTTCTGTGATGCCTAGTATATCAATATTCTCATTTAATACACTATACCCTCAAGGACAATAAGGCCATTGCAGAGAAACTAAATGAATTCTTTCCATCTGTCTTTACGGCTGAGGATCTAAGTTCCCCGTAAGCTGCAAGGCCGCGCAGCAGCCTTCCTAGCGCTGCACAGGCGCTCAGGGAACCTGCCCTTCCCCCAGCCCCAACCTGCCACAGCTGGGGCACCCCTACCCCGGCCTGAACCCAGCCGCAGCCGGGGTGGCCTAGCCCGGCCCCAACCCTGACCTGGCCGCAGCTGCCCAGCTCAGCCCCGGCCCAGCCATGGCGCCCCAGCCAGGCCCAAACATGGGAGGAGAGGGTCCCTAGGTCCCTGCCAGCGGCTGAGTACAGTACCAGTGCTCAGACAGGCTAGAGCCCTCCAATGCCAGGCGGGGCTTAGCAGGGCTCCAGGGCAGAGCCCTTCTGTGGGGCTGCTCCCATGTAGCCAAGTGCCATGGGCTCAGTGGCACAGGATTGGGCTCTTTCTGACGGGGGGGGGGGGGGAGGCTATGGCAGCCTGTCTGTCCTATGCACTGCGCTACAGACTGGGGCAATCAGCTCCTATTGCCCTGGCTCCCCACCCTGCTGGGGAACAATGGGTCTCTGCTGGCCTTTCATTTGCCCTGGGACCCCTTGGCTAGCTGGGAGCTGGTAGAGAGCAGAGGCAACAGGAGGCTGTGGGCTTGGAGCTGGGCCTGCCTGGCTGCCGAGAGCAGCCATCCCATTTCACAGAGCCCAGTTCGCCCTGATTCGGGGCCCACCAGTGACAGCTCCGAACTGCCAGCCAAGGAGGGCACCGTGCAGCTGGGCTCCAGAGGAAGTGCAGCAGATCACTGGTGGGGGACACACAGAGCGAGCCGAGGAGGTCAGCTCCTTGGGAAGAGCCAGAGCATGGATCCCAGCAGGAAGGGGCCCTGGCCTGTCGCTGCTGATCACTGGCTCATATGCGCAAACCGTCGACACCAGCTGAGGCCCCTCCCCCAGCCCCGGCCCAGACCTGCCAGCGAAGGCGCCTATCCTGCGCCCCAGCCCCACAGCTGCTTGGGCGGGGAAGAGAACCTCTCCCCCTCCTGTAGCCCCAGAGCACCCTCCTGAACCCCAAACCCATCCCTGGACCGACCCCAGAGCCCTTACCCCCTGCACCCAACCCTCTGCCCCAGGCCTGAGCCCATCTGTGGCCCCACCCGGAGCCCTCACACCCCTGCACCTCAACCCTCTGCCCCATCCCTGAGCCCCTCATCACCAGCCCCACCTCACAGCCTGCACCCCCAGCCAGAGCCCTCATACCCCTGCACACCAATCCTCTGCCCCAGCCCTGAGCCCCCTCCCACACTTCAAACCCCTTGGCCCCACCTTCATGAATTTTGTTATATGCACCAATATGGAGGTGATGCGTCACATATCACCTCCATATCAGTGCACATAACAAAATTCATTCCACACATGGGTGGGAAAATTTAGAGGGAACACTGCTGAGGATGTGAGGGAAATTCCCAAACCTGAGCAATTCTTTTTAGGTGACAAATCTGAGGAACTGTTCCAGATTGAGGTGTCATTAGAGGAGGTTTTGGAACAAATTGATAAACTAAACAGTAGTAAGTCACCAGGACCAGATGATATTCACCCAAGAGTTCTGAAGGAAATCAAATGTGAAATTGCAGAACGACTAACTGTAGTTCATAACCTATCATTTAAATCAGCTTCTGTACCAAATGACTGGAGGATAGCAAATGTGATGCCAATTTTTAAAAAGGGCTCCAGAGGTGATCCTGGCAATTACAGCTCGGTAAGCCTGACTTCAGTACCGAGTAAACTGGCTGAAATGATAGTAAAGAACAAAATTGTCAGACTCAGAGGAACATAATTTGTTGGGAAAAAGTTGTAATGGTTTTTGTAAAGGGAAATCATGCCTCACCAATCTACTAGAATTCTGATGGGGGTCAACAAGCATGTGGACAAGGGGAGTCCAGTGGATATAGTATACTTAGATTTTTCAGAAAGTCTTTCACAAGGTCCCTCACCAAAAAGGCTCTTAAGTAAGATGTCATGGGATAAGAGGGAAGATCTTCTCATGGATTGGTAACTGGTTAAAAGACAGGAAACAAAGGGTAGGAATAAATGGTCAGTTTTCAGAATGGAGAGAGGTAAATACTGGTGTCCCCCAGGGGTCTGTACTGGGAATATTCAACATTCATAAATGATCTGGAAGAAGGGGTAAACAGTGAGGTGGCAACATTTGCAGATGATACAAAACTACTCAAGATAGTTAGATCCCAGGCAGACTGCAAAGAGCTACAAAAGGATCTCTCAAAACTGGGTGACTGGGCAAGAAAATGGCAGATGAAATTCAATGTTGATAAATGCAAAGCCTCTATTTGCCAGGGGCTCAGAATGGGTGATAGGGAATGGATCACTTGATGATTACCTGTTCTGTTCATTCCCTCTGGGGCACCTGGCATTGGCCACTATTGGAAGACAGGATACTGGGCTAGATGGACCTTTGGTCTGACCCAGTACGGACGTTTATATGTTCATACAAACATAGGACTGGAAGAGACCTCGAGACGTCATCTAGTCCAGTCCCCTGCACTCATGACAGGACTAAGTATTATCTAGACCATGAGATGATCACGGTTGAGGTATTTTTGATGAGTCGGACTGGAGGATCTTGCACTGCCAGTGCCCATACTGTATCTGAGTAGTGGATAAACAGAAACTTCAGTCTCCAGGACTGTCAGTCCAGTAGCTTTCACCAACACTAAATAACACATACATACAAAATGAAACAGGTGCACAGAAGAGAAAGAAAGAATCTTTACTCAGCTACAACTTTCTCCTTATAACAGTAAGTTAGTCTCCTTCTCTGCAGGCCCAGGTTGCCAAATCTTCCCTTTACACTTCCACAGATCCTCAGAACAAATTCATTTCTTCTTCCAAAATTTTCTGTAATCGTCCAAATTAAAATCATCATCCAACACTTTCTCCTGTTTGCTCTTAAGCCTTCTGGGATCGCGTTTCCGTAACCTCGCTCTTCTTTCGGCCTCGGAAAGAGTGTTAATGTCTACAGGCATCTGTGGAGGGGAACAAAAATTAATCAGTCAAAGGCATCTTATTCAAATACCTCAGTGTTCAAAAGGAGAGGAGTTTGCTGCAAAATAAAAATCCCAATAGAGGTTAATCAAATAGGAATCATTTTATTAATTACAAATCTCTTACTGATTGCTGGGGTTTCACTGGTTTGGGGGCAGATGCAGAAGTTATTCTGCATTCATCTGTTATCCCGAGGATGTATGATGTAGTAGTGAAAGGTCGTCAGAACACAAGCATCTAACCTTCCAACAGGGGTTGACTGGGCAATGGGAAAAGTACTGTGGTATGTAGAGGTTGCAGTTATTAACACTGTGCAAAATAAGCTGAAAAAAAAATAATGAATAAGTGGGAGGAGGGATTGGGTTTCTTTTCAATTAGGAAGATTGCATTTTTAAGTGGATTTATTACTGGAGAAAAGTGTTGGGCAAACAGCTCTGTGAAATGTAGTCCTGTGCTTATCCACACTAGAGATACAGCACTGGCTACTTCTCACCCCACCAGCCATGGTGCATCAACCCTGACTTGGATGGACCACATCTAGGCATGCAATGATAATTCAATTGGACTCATTCAGTACTAGGCCAATAAGAACCATTTGTGGTGGTGGTGGGTTTTGTGCTGGTGGTGGGTTTTGTGCTGTGGGCACCTACCCACTGGGAGCTGACCCAAGACCCACTAAACTTGTATGTAAGATACATCAGATGGCAATGACTTTCAGTTTTGGGACTTGTTTTGTGCTGGTGACCTAAAGGTGAAAGGCATTTTATCCTATTACTAATCCCCTGAACCATCCAGATTCTGACCCACCTGCTCTTGTATTCAAGTGACTTTCCAAGGAGTAAAAGGATTTGGTTCCTGGAATCACCACATTCCCCCCCTAAAAGGCCTGTATCTCAGAGACCTGTCTTTGGCCAGAGGAGGCTGAGATCAGCGGGAAAGAGGGGAGCAGGGGTTGCCTGAAAAATGCCTGGAGCATGAGGTGGCTTCTGAACTGTAACCACCCACAGGACGCAGACAGGGCATTCATTACATTTCTAGGGTAGGGGAGATTTCAGCCCCATATTCTTATAAATGGGTGAGGGGAAAATAAAAAATTCTGAAGATTAGCCCCCTCCATCTTCAGTAATCCATCTGAAGGGAAGGGAGCACCCTTCATCATTCAGGCCACCACCTGGAGCAATGTTAACAGGCTCTAAAGGGAGATGCAGCCTGCCCTCAACAAGCAGGGATTAATGAATGTAACTTGGCCCTCTCAGGGTGGAGGCGGCTGGGGAAGCAAACTAGGAAGAAATTGGGATAGAGCTGAACACAACTTTCCAAAAATCCAATGTGATTGCTAATTAGTACTACTTCTACAGCTTTACAAAGTATTTATGATGTAGGAACACTGGAACAGCCACCCCAACGGTATCTAATGATCCACCTAGCCTGATGTCCTGTTGAAGAGATGACCATTAAAAATACTGGAGGCTCTACCTCCTCGGAGGAAGTTAATTGAACCTCGTGTTTCAGGATATGGAGACAACTCTGCCCCCGGACAAATGAACAAGGCTATTTGGAGGTTTATCACCTTTCTCTACAGCATCAAAGTGATCCATCCAGTCTAATATCCTGACCACCAATGATTTGATCCAATATGGCAAATCCTATGTGTGCATCAGTGACTGATACAGGATGCTTCAGAGGAAGTTGTAACTCCATCCTTCTCATTATGCAATATTGTGCAATACTCATATCTATTTGTGCAATACTCAATACAACCTCCATCCCAGCAATTCTATTAAAAAATAGATTTTGCTCAATATTTCTTACTGTAAGTATCCGCCTTGGCTCCTTATAGCGGATGTGAATAGTAGATCCATCAGGCTTGACCAAGAGCACTGGGTAGGACCTGCCGTACGTCTGCCTCTGAATGCGGGCGATGGATGTCCTGTTGGAGTTATGCTGGCTGAGGGATGTATGCAGATGGCAAGCAATGGGTAGTAACCTGTTCATTGCATCCTGACGCAACAAACTAAAGGGAATTCAAACAGGGCAGGGTTAGTTATTCTTCCCCTCCATTCCACAGGGAGGCAGAGAAAAAAGAAGTCAAGTTCAGTAGACTAACATCAGGGCCGGCTCCAGCGTTTTTGCCGCCCCAAGCGGCGAAGAGAGGGAGAGAAAAAAAAAAGATAAAGCCGCGATCGGCGGCTGGTCTACCGTGCTGCTTCATTCTTCGGCAGCAATTCGACGGCCGGTCCTTCCCTCCGAGAGGGACTGAGGGACCCGCCGCCAAAGACCCGGACGTGCCGCCCCTTTCCATTGGCCGCCCCAAGCACCTGCTTCCTGCGCTGGTGCCTGGAGCCAGCCCTGACTAACATACATGACTACGGTCTTACCAAATTCATGGTCCATTTTGGTCAATTTCACAGCCAGAGGGTTTTAAAATCTGTCAGTTTCACTATTTCAGCTGTTTAGATCTGAAATTTCAAGGTATTTTAACCATGGGGGTCCAGACCCAAAAGATGATCGTGGGGTCTGGGGGGGGAGAGTTGCTGTTGTAGGGGGGCCAGGGGATTGCCACCTTCACTTCTGTGATGCCTTCACAGCCGGGCAGCAGCCCTGGAGCTTCCTGCAGTAGGGAAAGAGGCTCCCAGAGTTGGAGGTGAATCTGATCTCCCTCTGCTGCTGGGAGTGCCCTGCCAGGGGCTCCTAGCCCCAGTCAATGGTGGATAAACGCATGGGCACTCCAGGAGCCGTTGGGGGCAGAAGCGCCACGCCCAGGCACCCTGAGGGGTGGAAGCCCCGAGCTCAGCTCCGGGGCTGCTGCAGTGCAGAAGTGAGGGTGTACCACCCTCACTTCTGTGCTACCTCTGCAGGCAGGTCTGATCTCCCCACCAAGAGCGGCCATGCAGGGGAAGGACAAGTCCTGTCCTTCCCCAGCTCAGCCCAGACTAGCAGCTAGGAGCTCCCAGCTGGGGCACTCCCAGCAGCACGGGGAGATCAGATTTCACAGGGAAGGGCTTATTTTGTGGTCTGTGACATGTTTTTCACAGCTGTAAAACTGGTAGGGCCTTATACATGACACCATGTCCAAGAACATGGACTAGAGATGGAAGAGATTTATAGTCCTCCATCCAGGCTATTTTTAAATGTCCCAAGCAAAGAAGCTTCCACCACAACCCTGGTAATATTAATGATGATGAGCATTTACATAACATTTACCTTCAAAGTGGTTTACAAATATTAAGTAATCATATTAGCAACAACAATACTTTTTGCTTATACTACAATTTTACACAGGATGTAAGGCATTTTTCAAAGGAAGGCAAATGTTTAATGGGGAAAAATAACAATCAAGGAAAATTGAACTACACAGTATTTAAGTGGCTTGGGAGGATTAGAACTCAGGAGTTCTGTGCACAGATGAACAGACCAAGCCCCTGTTTCATATCCCACAATCGGACAGATCTCATCTGCAAATCCTTGGTCCTGTAGTACAGCCTGACATTTTAATGATCACTTTTTCTTCCTTCAAATAAATAAGTCATGTGTTGATGACAGGCCTCCAGGACGGATTGCACTAGGCCAGTGGTTCCCAAACTTTAACAACCTGGGAACCCCTTTCACTAAAATGTCAAGTCTCGCAAACCCCCTCCTAAAAATGAATATTCCCAGGGATTTTCTCCTTTACCTGAGTATAAATTATAAAAGCAGTGATCTTGGAAATATAAAATTTGTTTTTATGACATGCTTATTACACACTATTTATTATTAATTATTATTTATAATTACACTATTTTTATTACATTATGAAAACGGCAACACACTTCCAAGATCTTACTTCTGTAGCTTGTATCACTTTGAATAAGCCTGTTACAAGACAAGGCTCCTATGTTTCATCAAGGAGTATCAGATGTGAAACAGCATGAAGGTATTTAAGAAGCTAACTCAGAGTTCCTCCTACATAAGCATTCAGGTCTTGAGCAGTCCAGGAAAACAACGCACATTATAACAAAGCTTAAACTCGTTCTTCATAATAATTTTAAAAACAACACTAGCTGCCTATTTAATTTTAAAAACAGCAAAAAAATATCCACCTCCCTTTCCATTTCTTATAAGGAGTCTTGGAGTTTAAATCTCCTCAGTATGATAGATATGCTTGCTTTGATCTGCTTAGCTCTTGGAAGTCCAGGGGCTCCAGGCTGCTGGCCCTGTGCTGTCCGGGGTCCCTAGGGACAGCTCTGTCTGCCATTAGGGAATTTTTTCCCCCCCGAGAACCCCCCAGTTTGGGAACCACTGCACTAGGCTAATTTCTATCATGTGACTAGAGTTCACAGGGCCCTGGATCACCAATCTTCACTGAAAAGCCACGTGGAAATAGTGTGAACAGCAAAAATAGGAGGGTACAGACAGGCAAGGAAAATGGTTAGAGCCATGGAAAATCTTCCTCATTAAGAGGAAGTGTAAAGATCAGACTTTTTAGTTTAGAGAGAAGAGGAGCATGAGGGGACACAATAGAGGCACATGAGATCTGGTTTCATTGGTCCGGGAACTCTTAATTCAAGTGAACAATACCACTGTGACATTCCCCAGAGTGCCAGCTGGAGTGCTGTGTCCCCTTAGCTCTGCAGCCCGGCATGCCTTTTACACTGTTTTGCTGATGAACAGCAGCCCCTCCAGGCTCTCCTCACTCCCAGCCACCAGCATGCAAAGTCACTCCCAGCTGAATGCATGAATGCTATGCCCAGCCATTCATGAATTATATACAGGATGACACCATGCATACCCCTCAGCCCCAACCTTGCTCCCCAGAAACGTGCATCTTATACTGTTCAGGACCCTCCCCCGGACAGTATAAGCTCATAGATAGATCGGCTTCATTCCAACAATGGGTAATGAATATGCACTAGGCTTGTTGACCTAAGATTCTCAAGCACTTCAACCAAAACACACAGTTTAGATAAATCAATAAAACAAGTTTATCTAGAGAAAGACAGATTTTAAGTGATGACAAGTATAGTTGAGTATAACTCAGGAATGGTTACAAAAGAAACAAAAAGATAAAACTACAAGCTAATTCCCAAATTTTACCAAGCCTAATAGGTTTAAAAGCAAAAGGTTTGTCTCACCCTGAGCTGGAATACATTTCACAGGCTGCATCCCTTTCCAGCATGGAACCACTCCCCCCCCTTTGTTCAGTTCTTTGAGACTCATTGTTGTCATGAGCAGAGAGATGGAAGGAGGAGAGAAATGGCTATGGATATTTTTCATCCCTTCCTATACCCCAATCCCTTGCTGGGTCATGGGGTCAGGCAGTTCCATTGCCTACATGAGCTCCAAACTGCCCTTCAGATGAATTGTGAATTTCTTGTTTACAACTCCCGCCCTGCTGGAGAATGTCTGATTGAGCCGGTAATGGCTCTTTAGCCCTTTGCTGATGTGTCTCTGAGAAATTGGTTTGTGGGTGTTACCAAGAACTACAAGTTTCAGTAACAATCATATAGTAAAATCTCAATTTTACATGCAGTGTTGTTACACACATTCCTGGGGGAATTCTGTGCCAAAAAATTAAAAATTCTGCATATAACATTTTAAAATTCTGCAAATTTTATTTGTCAAAACAACACTACATAATCACACCACTTTCAATTATTTTGGTAATTTATTTCAAAATACCTGTCAGCAGGTATGTCTGTAACAATACAGACACACAAAAATTCCCCCAGGAGTAGAGAGTTAAAAAAAACCCCTATGACAACCTAGTTCCTCTCCCACTCCGCAGAACCCACAACCCTTCCCGAGTCCAGCCACGGGGCTCCTCCAGCCAATATACCTGAATCCCTCCCCCACCAGAGCCCAGCCATGGGGGCCCCCCCTAGCCCAGATACCCGCATCCCCTCCACTCCAGAGCCTAGCTGTGGCCCCACCAACCACACCCACCCCCCTACCGCCCAGGGATCCAGAAAGAGAAACAGCCTGTTGCTGGGTCCCAGCCAGGCTTGTGTGGAGTTTCCTGCGTGCCACTATCTCCTTCCCTCAGGGCGTACAGGGAACTACAGCTGCTAGGAACTCTCTACTCCAGGGGTGGGCAAACTTTTTGGGCTGAGGGCCACATCTGGGTGGGGAAATTGTATGCAGGGCCGGGGCAGAGGGTTGGGCTGCAAGAGGGAGTGCGTGGTGTGGGAGGAGGTGCGGTGTGCAGGAAGGGGCTCAGGGCAAGGGATTGGGGCAGAGGAGGGGTGCGGGATGTATGAGGGGGCTCAGGGAAGGGAGTTGGGGTGGAGGGGTGCAGACTGCAGGGGGGGCTCAGGGCAGGGGTGCAAGAAGGGTGCGGACTGCGGAAGGGGGCTCAGGCAGAGGGTTGGGGTGCAGGAGGGGTGCAGGGTGCAGCAGGGGCTCAGCGCAGGGGTGCAGGATGTATGAGGGGGCTCAGGGCAGGGGATTGGGGTGCAGGAGGGGTGCAAAGTGCAAGCAGGGGGCTTAGGGCAGGGAGTTGGGGGGGTGGGGTACAGGAGGGGTTCGGGTTCCGGCCCGGCACCGCTTACCTCAAGCGGCGCCGGGGTGGCAGCGGCGTGCACCGGGGCCAGGGCAGGCTCCCTGCACCGCTCCCGGAAGTGCTGCGGCCCCTGGGGGACAGGGGGCTCTGCGTGCACTGCCCTTGCCGCACCTCCAGGTACCTCCCCCGAAGCTCCCATTGGTTGCAGTTCCCCGTTCCCGGCCAATGGGAGCTGCAGGGGGCGGTGCCTGGAGCAAGGGCAATGCATGGAGCCCTCAGCCCCCTTGCCCAGGGGCCGCAGGGATATGGTGCCAGTGGCGCCACGGGCCGTATCCAAAGCCCCAGGGGCCGCAGGGATATGGTGCTAGTGGTGCCACGGGCCGTATCCAAAGCCCCAAGGGGCTGGATCTGGCCCGCGGGCCGTAATTTGCCCTCCCCTGCTCTACTCCCTCCCCCGGCCCAGTGTCTTCTATGTGCAAGCTGGGCTCTGCCAGATCCAGTGGCCCGTAGTGGCGGCCAGCAGCCCTGCAATCCATTTCTGTGGGGGAAAGGAAATTATGCGCAAAAAACATTAATTTCTGCAAAATTCTGCATTGCGCAATCTCACAGAATTCCCCCAGGAGTAACATTTCAACATGATAATAATATTCAGCAGATTATGAGTTTTCAAATGATACCTCACAAGGCATACTTTGTACAAAATATAACATAAAATGGTGAACATGGGGTACAGGGTCTCACAGTGACTGACTTCACTGGGGCAATCTGGGCAATAAAGGCTGCAGGATCAGATCCTGTCGTAATGACAATAACTACAAACTTTATTCTTAGTCATAAAAGGTCTGATCTTTCGAGGTACTGACTACCTATTGCAAGGAGGTGAGTGCTGTCAACTCCCACTGAAGAGAATGCCAGATTGCCCATTTATTCCATCAAAATGAACACACCATGACCAACATCAGCCAGCCCTTTAGCCAAGTCACAGTATTTGGTATGTGAAGCTTACCCCAGAGTCCTGCTTACTGCTGCCATCCCGCTCTTAGGTAGAACCACAAAAGTCCAAGGAACTAGTTCAACAAGGGCTTTGTCTGGAATACTGGATTTAACCGCTGCATGAAACTATTCCATAAAGTTCTTCAAGGTAAGTGATCCAACTGTTACACCACAGCTCTGCACCATACACGTTCTTCTCTTTGTAGGTAACCTAATGACCAAATGGACCAAAAAGAGATGGATCAAGCAAAGCAGCCTTTTCTTGCTACTTTAATCAAATCTCTTCTGAAACTGCCCATTTTTTAAAAAAAACTTGCAATTCTGAGATACCTCATTAGCATTTTGGAATGTGCTTTAAAATAAAAAGTTAGTGTAAAGGAAGGTTCTGAGAACTGATGATTTCACCTTCTTTCTCTGCAAAATTATAGCATACGGCTGCTCATGTCAAGCCAATCTGTGCTCTGCATTCTTTGATCTTTCCAGGTAACAATGGTGCAACTTTCATTAAAGCAGAAACAGAAGATAAGGCAGATATCCAATGTATGACATTTAATTTTCTGCAGCAACATTTCTCATAGCCATTAGCAAGTTCACTTAATTCTTCATCAGATTTTATTATTAAGCCTTAGGAAAATAAGCTAATTTCCAAACACACATCATCTGGAAACTGGCTAATTTCTAGAAGTCACTGGAGTTGCTGCGCCAAAGGAGAAGAGCTGTTTTCTAATGGCTGACAGATGGGTCACGTTGGGACTCTGCAATGGAGAAACCCATCTGGCTCTGCCTCTCTGCTCTCAAAAACCTACCTCTCCTCCTCTGAGCCTGCTCTCCCGCTATGATGCTGGTTCACAACTCCTCTCATACGCCAAGAACCAGTACAGAGCTCAGAGCTCTGTGTGGCAACGCAATAATGGCAGCTGAGAGGAGAGAATGAACAGCAGGAGGAAATTGCTTTGGCAGGGAGGGATCATTGGTGGTGGAGGGAATCGCGTGCCTGGTGAGGGGAAAAGGAGAGGTACCCAAAACATGTACTCTTCAGTATCCCAAGGGTTAACACCTGCTCCATATTTCAGTCTAACTGCACCTGCAGGGTTAGTGATGATCCTGTTGTACAACATCAGGTCTGTCATGTGGGGTTACGGGTGTAATCACAGGAGGGGAGCAGTAGAGCCAGCACACATTTCAGACAGCTGGCTACACCCCTGAATGCATAGGGTAGGCTGCAGTGTGGCCCCAAACACCTCATACATTGATATCGACCCTCACATAAGAAGAAGTTATTTTTCCCCCCTTTACTACAGTGGGCCAAATTTGTCCCTGGTTGAACTCTTTAATGGGGCGACACCAGGAATGAATTTGGCCCAATATTTTCCACATATAAAATCTTTTAGCCATTCTGGTTACAGTATCGAGGGTGCTGTGTGAATTTTAGACACAAATTAACCAAAACCTGGCCATATTGCAAGCTGGGATCTCTGGGTAGGAGCCTCCTTCCTATAACCTTCCATGACTAGTCTGTGTAGCAGGGTCATGACTAAGCTCACACGCAACAACTTAAGACTGCAATAGCTTTTCCACTTGTCTGACTCTAAAAGCTCCCTAATGCTCCCATGTAATGGAGTTATAGCCTGCCCCTGCCTTCTCTGACCCCACTCTGCACGTAGCACACACATGCTAAACACATTACTATGTGTTATTTGTGTTGTGGCAACACCTGAAGGTTTCAAACAGGATCAAGCCCCATCACAATAGGGTGATGTACAAACACCTATCCAATTAGGAGCCCCCAGCACAGGATGGATCAGATCTTATCTTGCACTTGCAAGGACAGATTAATTGATTGAGGTATTATAACTAGAACTCGTATGATCCTAAAGCATCCCAACAGTGGGAAACTAGGAAAATAAAACCTACAAGGGCTGAGAAAAAGAAGTAGGGAGAAGCAGGGACAGAGTGATAGGCAGGGTGACAGGCTGGTGTAGCAGGGCAATAGGCAGTGACAAGAGCAGGGTGACAGGCAGTTATAGGGGCAGCCAGAGCAGGGTGAAAGAGATGTGAGGGAGGGCCATGAGGATAACAGGTGCCCCAGGGGGCATGGCAGGAGAGGGGATGCGGGAGGCAGGGCACCCAGGGAACATGGGGGCAATAGGGCCAGGGTCATGGAGGTAGCAGGACTATGGTGCACAGAGAGAGCTAAGGCAGCAAGTGCAGGGGGTGTAAAGTCATGGGTCCAGAGGGAGCTGAATGAAGTAGCAGGCACGGGGGTCATAGAGTCCTGGGATGTGTAGGGGCCGGGGGGGCAGGCCATGGGGCATAGAGGGGGCTGAGGTAGCCAAGCGCAAAGGGGGGGGCAAGCCATGGACCACAGGGTGGGCTGAGGTAGCTGCATGCTGAAGTGGGCTGAAGTAATAGGTGCAAAGGGCATGGGGCCCTGTGGCACAGGGGGTGAGGTGGAGGGGGGACAGACCATGGAGCACAGAGGGG